CCTGGCCTGGACCCTGTCCATCCTCATCTCCTTCGTCCCAGTCCAGCTGAACTGGCACCGGGAAGCGTCGGACCCCGACGGCGGGGGGGACCTTCCCTCCGACCCGGCCAACGGGACGGCCTGGGAGGCCCCCGGGGAGCCTGTGGCCACGGCAGTGAACTGCGACTCCAGCCTGAACCGGGCCTACGCCATCTCCTCCTCGCTCATCAGCTTCTACATCCCGGTGGCAGTCATGATCGTGACCTACACTCGCATCTACCGCATCGCGCAGGAGCAGATCCGCAGGATCGCGTCCCTGGAGAGGGCCGCCGAGCATGCGCAGAGCTGCCGGAGCCGCGTGGGCAGCGAGCCGGACGCCAGCCTGCGCTCGTCCATCCGGAAGGAGACCAAGGTGCTCAAGACGCTGTCGGTGATCATGGGAGTCTTCGTGTGCTGCTGGCTGCCCTTCTTCGTCCTCAACTGCATGGCTCCATTCTGCCACGGAGACCCCGAGGACCTGGGGGCCGGCTTCCCCTGCGTCAGCGAGACCACTTTTGACGTCTTCGTCTGGTTCGGGTGGACCAACTCCTCGCTCAACCCGGTCATCTACGCCTTCAACGCTGACTTCCGGAAGGTGTTCGCCCAGCTGCTGGGGTGCAGCCACCTCTGCCGGCGCACCCCCGTGGAGACAGTGAACATCAGCAACGAGCTCATCTCCTACAACCAGGACACCGTCTTCCACAAGGAGGTCGCGGCCGCCTACGTCCACATGATCCCCAACGCGGTGGTCCCCGGGGACGGGGAGCTGGAGGACGAGGAGGAGGACGAGGAGGACCCTTTCCATCGAATGCCCCAGATCTGCCAGTCGTCCCCAGACGGCGACCCTGCGGTCGGCTCTGTCTGGGAGCTGGACTGCGATGGGGAGGTTTCCTTAGGCAAAATAACGCCGCTGACCCCAAACGGAGTTCCTTAAACCGCACAGGAAGAGCCCTCGCGGATCTTCGTAAGCGCATAGACATGCACAATCGCACACACACACACACACACACACACACACACACACACCCAGCGCTGCTCAGCTTTCAGTGTTTCTGCTTCTCCGTGAAGTCACTCCTATGCTGGAGTCCTCATTCTCCCCATCCGTCCCTCAGTGAAAGAATCCGCAGAGGCAGTAGAATAACTCGCGTGCACATGCCTCACCCAGCCTAGCAGAGACAGCCAGCTAGAGAAGAGAGGGCAGCGCTTGGCCCTACAAAATATACAGCCCCTTTCCCTTTCAGAAGGCATCTTGTTCAGTGACCTGTTTGCACTTGGTGGATTTTTAAGCAGCAGGTTCAGTGCATGCATGTGGAGGATGAGAGAGAGAACAGTAGTGAGCTCTCTCTCTCTCCTTCTCTCTCTCTCTGGCCATCTGCTCCCCACTTTCTGCTCTTCCTAGCTGAGGAATTCTTCCCAAGTGGGTCAGGTGAACACAGGTAATGCTGATGGTGGGGCTATAATCTTTCAGGATGACTCCTGGAGAGAACACAAGTGCATGCTCAAAAGCAGGGGAGATGTCCTGTTCTATTCTTTTCAGGCAGTTTGGACTTGAAGGAACACAAAAGGCCTTGAAAAGCTTCTGATCTTGGGTTTCCTTGTGAGGCGCCTACACCTCCAGTGCATATTGAAAGCTGGTTTCATGGTTGCGGCCAGTGACATGGAGTGCTCAAGCCTGGACTTCTTTTTCTTGTCTCTTGGAAACTTCTTATTTTATTTTATTTTTTGGTACCAGGGATCAAACTCAGGCCGTTACGCTTGTGAGGCAGGTGCTAGAACCACTGAGCTAAATCCCCGGCCCCTTGGAAACTTGTTTTTTAAGATAACGTAAGACAGTTCTCCAGATTCATAGGCAGACAATGTCTGTTCCTTGAAGAGATTGTCTGCAGTGATAGAGTGGTCTTTCTCCAGCTCAAATCTAGAATGCTATGACCTGGTTTTTGGGCACTGTTTTTTCTGAAGAGCTTTGACATGTGTGAGTCAATATGTTTTTAAAATGAAATCCTATTATCACATAGGCATTTTAGTTGTACACAATAGCAAACAGGGAAGAGCATTTTAATTGCATTGTAGAAGCCAGAATTGACATTTGAATGAACTAACAACTAGAAAATCTATAGGTAGAGCTGCTCAACAAAAGATCCCCACTAACCCCCAGTCTTTCTGCTTTCCCACTCGGCCATGAGCCTGGTGTAGTGCACTTTACCCCAAACGATTTCAGTTGAGAACACAGTACCACAAGAATTACGTGCAAAACCCATTAATGAAAGCAAATGAAATGTGAATCTGCAATTTCTCATACATCCTTGCTCTCTGAAAATGTCACATCAAGGACAGCTCAATCAATTGTCATCTCTTTAGGGATAATTTTATTGTCAGCCTTCTGTACAACTCTGTCTTGTTCACTGTAAATGCGTAGTGCCTGGCATGTAATGCTTAATAAATATTTGTTGACTGAATAACTGTTTTTGGAACAGTGAGATTGAAACCAAATCCTGTTTGGCTCATGAGTTTTCATATGTGACTCTGTCAGAGTAATTCTGGAATCTGAGACCTGTGTGCAGCCACTGGCTTGTACTCCAGGGATGCAAGTGCAGTTAGACAGCATTAAACGACCAGAAGTCACCGCTCTGGGATTCAGAGGCTGCGTGACCTTGTGTGACCTGTTAACCCCTCAGTTTCAATTTCTGTCTGTGTTTGCAAATTGCAGGGCTTGTATGAGATTACTGCTTACCCAGCTGTGCTGTGTGTTGCCAACATTAATGCACAGGGCGAAATAAATTCAGCAGACCTAGATGCAATGCCTGTTTTCTCTTCAGGGCTGCTTAGGGATTTCCTGAGGCTCATGAACCCCCTTGATGGAGAAGATTTCATTTCCCAGTGTCTGTGATCTTGTTAGTCCTCATTTGGTACAATTCCTGTCACTCTTTCCCTGGAGCCCCCACTTACAGGGCTTGCAGGGTAAGAAACTTGAATGTACAGTGATTTTATTTTAATGAGCAGAATCTTTGAGGGGGGCGCAGACATTGTTTTAGGCTCCAGTTTAAGTAAGTACAACTATGTGAGGACTTTGGAATTCCCCTCTGTAAAATGTCTCTCATTGTGTATTATAATTATTACATCTCCTACGCACTCAACGCTGCCCCAGATGTGGGGAATATCATCATTCATCAGCTTCTCTGCTGGATGGGAGCCCGTTTCAGTGGGGAGAGAAAAGCCAATAAAGGCTCCCCTGGATCCTGTATTGTGCTGACTCTACTAGTGATGTGGTTCGTGAAGTCAGGCGGGGATATTGCTGGGATGCTTCCCAAAGCAGAGCAGTAAAGGGATAAAGCTGCATTTTTATTTAGGATGGTCAGGGGAGGGCTCTTAGAGGAGGCATAAGGAAGAAAGACCTTACTGAAGCAAGGGCTGGAGCAACGGCAACATCAAGGAAGGGGAGTGGCCCAGGCAGAGGCAAATGCAGGAGAGAAGCCTGGAAACTGCAGGCTAAATACCTACCCCGAAGTCATGCTGCTCGTGAGTGCTGGAGCTTGGCTCAGACCAGGCAGCCCCACCATAGAATCCTGGCTCTCGACTTCTTTTTGGTGATAAGAGAAGCTGCCAGGACCCTTGTCCCCAGCCAGCAGATCCACTCATGCCTGGGTCAGGATGTCAGGTTCTTTACTCCTTGCTGACGAACTGGCTAATTGATTCATTCTCACGTCCATGATCCAGACCTGCACTGCCTACGTGCTCTACGCTTGGAGGGGAGGCAGTCCAGGGTCCTGGGCACAGTCACCCATGGATTAAGCCCAAGGTTTACATAGATGAGCCGTGTGCTTTCCTGGCTTCTTACGTGACCTTCGTATTGTATTAACTGCACATTATTATTTTCCCACTTTACAGAGCGGGACACTGAAGCACTGGGAGGTTGTTTCTTGCCCACAGTCACATGACAAACATCTGGCAGAGCCAGGGTTTACATTTACACTAGGGGTTCTCAACAGAAGGCAATTTTGCTTCTCATCCCTGGTGTCATTTGGTCGCTTCTGGAAATATGTTTTGATTGTCACAATTGCAAGAAGGGCGCTCCTGCGATCTGGTGAGGCTGGAAATTCTTCTAAACAATCAGGAGTGCAGCTCTGACCCACACAGAGGGACTCCAGCTCCCAGCTGTCTGCCCACAAACCCTGGGTGTTGGAGCTCCAGCCCCAAGTTTGCATTTCAGAGTCATCCTTTACCAGCTGTCTGCACTGGGTTCTACTCTGAGCTTTGGCTTCTCTATCTGAGCAGTGGGTACACGGACCCCACAGGTTGCATGCAACACAGACGTTACATTTGGGTCCTCGTTTTCCTTCTTTTAGAGAACTCTGCATCTTTCATATGTTTTGTGAGGACTTCAAGGTGTCCAGCTAGGTTAGAACCTCATTGTCCCAGAGGCTAATTGCCATAAAAGTTGTAGGGCTGAGATCCGTGTGGTCATGCCCACCACTATCTTCCCAGCCCCAGAGAGTGTGCTGCACATAGCAAGTGCTCACAAAGTGTCAATCATCCCCTTACTAAGTCCCAAGTCCTGGGACATGGTAGAGTGACTACCTCAGTGATTTTCATAGGGAGTCCCATCAGATATGGGTGTGTCTTAGTGACTTTTCTCCTTGATGAGATAAATACCTGACACCCAAGGTTAAAGGAGGAAAGGTTTCTTTCAGCTCGCAGTTTCAGAGTTTTCAGTCAGCTGGCTCCAAGGCAGGGCAGAGTAGCAGAGGGAAATCAAGGAGGAGAAACAGTCTATGGCAGGGTGGGCAGGAAGAAGCAACAGCAGCAGCCTCCTTTTTGTCCCAGCCAGGCTATGAGCCTCTTAGGTGGTGCTATCTACCGAGTGAGGCTTCCCACTACCCATACCCAGAACTCTGCTAAAGTAGTGAAGTAATCCAGCACCATGTGCCCTCGATCCCAGTATCACACCGTTAATCCACATTCACACACTCCAGATCCACCCACCTCTGAAAAGCCCCACCTACAACTGAAAGAGGCTTGGGGAGTCATCTAGACGCAGCGCATCTAGAGAAGGGGCTGGTCTGGGACTGATCAGACCCACAGGGCAGCAAGTTCCGCAAGAAGGAAGAGCTTTCTCTGAAGAGTACATCTGAAAGCTATTTAACAGCCAGTAGAGTAGCTTTGTTACATCTCCTAGATGCTCCTAAATGCTGGGTAATGTCGTCCCGTCCCTGCATTAATGAGATGGGACAGGTGAGGTGGGGGTCCCCAGGGTCACCTCACCAGGGACACCAGGCCGAACTGAAGGGTGACTCTCACTCCTGCCCCCTTTCCATTGCACCCGTCTGACCTAGTCTGGCCGCGAGTCACAAGAATGACCTGTCTCCTGCACTAGAGCAGTTCCAAGGCCAGGTGGTGACATGGGATAGGTGAGGTGGGGGTTCCCCAGGGTCACCTCACCAGGGACACCAGGCAGAACTGAAGGGTGACTCTCACTCCTGTCCCCTTTCCATTGCACCCGTCTGACCTAGTCTGGCTGCGAGTCACAAGAATGACCTGTCTCCTGCACTAGAGCAGTTCCAAGGCCAGGTGGTGACATGGGACGTGGAAACTGAAAAACAAACAAACCAACAACAACAACAGCAGCAACAACAACAACAAAAAACACTGTCTCTTGGGTAGCACAAGGGCTCCACAGACATTTTCACCCAGATGAGGCCTCCTGGGGATACCGCCAGCACGGTATCTTCCTGGTGGTTGGACTTGGACTTCAGGGCTCCAAAGTGTGCATCCAAAGGGGCTGGGTGGGAGGTAGGCGGATGCCAGACATCCTCACATGTCCTGGCCTCACGGGTCACACTCTGTCACTGGGAGAGTCACTAAGTCTAGGCCAGGGTCAGGGTGGGGTGAGTGTCACCTCCTGACTATGTCAAAGAATTAGCAGAAGAGATGCTTCATATTTTCTATTTTATAAAAAAAATTCTGACATAATTTCATATATAGAAAAGTAGCAAAATAATATAAAGAATTCATATGTATTATTTTCTCTGATTTGTCAACTAATATTTTATTATGCTGTTGATTTGTTCCCCCTCTTTTCTGAGTTTTCTATCATTTAGCATTGAATACTTCAGTGCATACCTCTTCACAACAAAGACTTCTCCCAGCTTACTCAGATCCCCTGATAAGGCCCTCTGTAACAAAACCACCCAAGATGCTGTTTTGCCTTGAAACTGTCCTGTCTTTTTAGTCTCTCGAATCCAAAAACAGTTCTTAGTCCTTTGCCTTTTATGACATGGTCCTTCATGAGTGGTACCTGGCCGATTTCAGTGTGGGCGTTGTCTGGTGTCTGCTCCTGACACATCGGGGGCGGGAGGAGAACATCACAGAAGTGATCCCACGTCCCCCTCCAGCATCCTAGCAGGTGGCACGTGCTGTCAATTAACCCCATGACTAGCAATGTTTGTGCTGCTTGATGGGTCACGGTGATGCCCATTATAAAATTTTCTTTTAAAATATCTTTATTAAGTTTATTGGTACATTTTAGGTATACAATATAGTTACATTCATCACTGAGATCTTGTACCTTTACATGACTTATCTTGGTTTATTATTTCCCTTTCCCCAGCCCTCCCTTCACCCCCTCCACCCTTCCCTGTTTACAAAGACTTTGTTTCCATGTTCGGTGATGCCCATTATAAAATTTTCTTTTAAAATATCTTTATTAAGTTTATTGGTACATTTTAGGTATACAA